GGCTGTGCTCATATTGGTCATTCCAGCTGTGTTTTCATTTGACAGCAACATAACTGTGGATAAAAAATATATAGATTGAAATTCTTATAGGTCCAGTCAGTTTGCCTGACAACCAAGGTTATAACAACACTGGTTATTGTTTCATGATGGTTAGTTCAGTGATTATAAAGTATATACATACTATATGTTGAGTGGAGGTGTAGATCCATGAATCCATGACAGCAATCACTTGTGAGTTTGATTCAGGCAAATTCATCATCTGCTGAAGTGTTAAGTTTGACTGTGTTCAAGGGGAGCATGTAAAAATTTATATTACAGATAAGAAAGAACTAAGTGAAATGTTGATGTGTTGATTTTGATTTGTTAATACCTTTAAAGAGACTGAATTTCTATTATCGTGTGGCTGAACAAAATCAGGCAAAGTACCTTTTGTCAACAGAAAAGGACTGTAAGGCTGTAGTCCTAAATCATAGTGATGACATTCTGTGAGTTTTTCTTAAGAATTTCCCTCTAAAAATACAAGTAAATTCCAGGAAATTGACTGAACCACCGTAGCCCTTGAGATAGCTTCTAACATAAACTGTTGTTCTGAGTAGGGTGGAGGACTTTTATAGAGTAGAAGATTGGCTATGAAAAACAGGAAAAGAAAACCGTGCTAAAATAAATATTACATGATGTGGGGATGATGTTTTTAGTTGAGTGTCATCTCACTAAATATACAATGCTAAATAGAGCAGTGATGGAAGAAGTACTCAGATCTTTTACTTAAGTAAAAATACAAAAGCACTTAAATATACTTAAAGTACCAAAAGTAAAAGTACTCAATTTTTTTTAGAAACTGAACATGAACAAACAGAAGACAATTGTAACTGCATATACAGGCGTAGTCATATAAAATAGTAAATGGATAAATAAAATATATGGCTGTTTAAGACAAGAAGTGGCAATACTTACAACAACACACATGCATACAAAATAATCTAAATACCTATGATTATAAAAATATATATATTTAAAAAAAAGAAAAGCTGCAACATATATAGTATTCCTCAGTTCTTTAAGTTGTGACCTTATGACAATCCAACCCTATTAACCCATATCCATATAAGCATGGTATCACTCCCACTTCCAGATATATAGATCCATGGTATATAGTTAACTGGTAAAGTACCTACAAATCTGAATGTACTTAATACATCACCCCACTGAATTAGATTAATGCTGTTATTTACTCAACACTGTTTTAAGGCCTTGGTGTACTTGTTTGTTGTTGTGTTCATCTTGTGAACCTAGAAAACAGCCGCAATATGTATATTGAATATAGTAAATTGGAAGTGTATATTAGTATTTGTTGAGGTCAGCAGCAGAGAAAGCCTTAAGCTAATAGATCCTGTTGATGTGAAGCTTCGTCATTAATCATATGCCTGTGTGAGGGTAAGAGATAGGACAGGATCCCCTGGAGTCTGGATGCTGATGGTGGTGGAGTAAAGCCAGCAGGTGGTTGATGGAAACTCTCAGATGAATCTCCTGGAACATCCTGGAGGTAATGGTGCCGATGGGGAGGCGATGGGTTGCACAGCGGTTGGTCTGAAAGACCGAATGACAGAATTACTATGATACTAAAAGAACGCCGCCTGAGGACCTGATTGGGTCCGGTAAAGATCATTGGCTAGACACGGTGACGTCTGAATGTTGAATGTAGGTTAGAGGAGAGGAAATGCAGAAATCCACCAACAGGAATAAAGGCCAAGTGTTCCTTATTGAACTATCACTGAAGCTCCATCACAAATACCCTAAAAAATAAATTGCATGTCAGCCTGTGAGGACTGCATGAATATTAAAGATCTTGTTGGGTTGATCTTAATATTACTTTAAAAGGGATTTTCTTGATTTTGTGATTATGTACCGTAGTTTCATAGATATGTGTATTCCAAACAATTGAAAGGGGTGTGCTGAGATTTTCCTCATACCTATCATACCTTGAAACCAAACCTACTGACTAAAACAAATGCTCTTGTTTCTTTCTAACTTTGACACACATACACCCACTCTAGCATCATGCACAAATAAAGATTCTTCATTCTTAACAATGGACACGGAAAGTGACTCACCTACATATTTGTTCCTTCCTTCTTTCTTTCATTTATTAGTTCATTTATTCTGTTTTTCATTCAAGTCTCATCGTCACAAAGCAGAATGGGAAGTGTCTGCATGTGACGCATTAAACCAGGATCATTCACTTTATTTCTGTTTTGCAAACCTGTTGAGCTGTGTAGTGTGTTTACTATCTGTTGGAAGATGTGTCCTTGTTTCTTTCTCATTGGTTTTCTGAAACCCACTGTACAGAATGAGTCTTAATTTAATGTAGCTTCCATTAACACTGTTTCAGTGTGTTTGCCTGTCGCGCATGATACAAAGTGCAAAGGAGGCAACTTTTAACCCACTACTCTAATCTGTAAATATTCCTTCTACAATCACCTACATTAACAGATGGTTTGGAGTGGACACCTCACACCACAGATTTCACATTGTCCATTCCATCTCCATAAAGTTCAACACTGAATTATGGCATCTTCTAAGCACCTCTACGCTTTCCCATCTGAGGCTTTTCTTCATATATGCTTGTTCTCCCTGTGTTTTTATAGTTCTTCATGGGTGCGCTGATTGCTCCTTAGACATGCATGTTAATTATTAGTAACACTACGCCACTTAATATTGACAAAGCCTCTGACCTCAGAACTGGAGTTACTCTCCCTGCTCATATATAGTTTCGATGAACAGTGGTGGAGGAAATATTCAGGTCCTTTACTAAAGTAAAAGTACCAATACCACACTGTAAAAATTCTCCATTAGAAGTAAAAGTCTTGCATTGAAAATTACACTTAAGTGAAAATATTTAAGGATAATCTGGAAAAGTATTAGAAGTAAAAGCACTAAATGCAGAAAAAATACTCCTGGGACTGTAATACTATTTATATATTATATAATTTGATTAGTATTACTTGTGCATTAATATAAAAGGAACGTTTTATTGCTGTAGTTGGTTGAGGAAATAGTAGTTAGTTAAAGTAGTTAAAGATGACTTCCACGGTCATTTTAACTGCACACTGCAGCAGCCTTTACCACCATCTGACCATAAATCCTGATGGATGAAACTACCAATCCATGCAACACAACTTTTACAGGTCTTACTTTGCTTCAGTGTATCTAAGTTTCTTTCTTACGCTTTGTGTTATCTCATGTTGTCCATTTAAACCAGGCAATTATTCATTGTTCAACCACAAGGCCCATTCTGATCTGATTATCTCCAGTGGGACTTTGACAATGAAGGTTCAGAAACTAAACCTTTAAATGTATGAAACATATTCACATCTCTGGTTAAATACAGTGATTGATTTGTCAAAGAGGATTTTAAACATATTTTCCATACAGTAAAAACATAAAACAAAAACTGCACAAAGAACTGTGTAAGAAGATCAACTGGTGTTTTAAAACTGAAGTTCACTGGTGGAGTTTAGTAACAACTTCTGGTGTGCTTTCGGAAAACCACACATTAGTCCCATCACTGTGGGGCAATGATTTTATATGCTGCCCATCCAAACTATTCATTGAGCATCTACAACAAATAATGTTCTTTGGTAATTAGGTTTGAAGAAGCCTAATCAACAATGAGTTATTGTTCAAGGTTTAATGTCTTTAATGTAACGAGATTGTGTTTCTCGCGGTCCAGTAGTGCTATAAATATATGTAATATATGTTGTCCTTATGTGGTGGGGGGCAGCAGGGTTTCTAAAAGTCTAACAGCTTGGGAGAAGAAGCTGATACAGAACATCATAGAGCTGGTTCTGGTGCTGCGAAACCTTCAGCCTGATGGCAGTAGGGCAAACAGTGTGTGTGAAGGGTGTGAAGGGTGGGATGGGCAGAAGAGACTCTGCGTGAAAGAGTGATGGGAAAGATGCTTAAAATGTTGCAATAAAGTCTTGATTCAGGAAACGAAGTGTGGAATTTAAATAGAAGTTTAGTCTCAGGATCAAATAAGTAGGATTCACAAAAACTTGTGTATGAATATACCACTATTTCTGTAGAAATATCAGTACAGTAACAAACTAAAACAGGTATCTGTAATTTCTTGGTCAAAACTTCAAATAGCAAATGTGCATAGAGGGATTTAGGGAGCAGAAAACTATACTTAACTATGAATTAAGTGCATTTTGAAAGATTTGTCTGTGTGTTAATTCTGTGTGTTAATGCAATGTTAAGTCTTTAATGCAAGTAACCCAGGCATTTTGCAGGTAACAAGTGTAAATAATGTTTACATATTTTTGATTCTACCAAACAATATACAAGAGTGTGTCATGGTATTCATAAATGTAAATGGTCCAAACTCTTTCGTAATATGAAACACTGTGTCCTCACTTTTCAGAGTACCAAATGTATGGCTTTGGTAACATTTAAAGTCTTCAATCTAAGGACATGCTCTTATTATTAATGGAAAATATCTATCAATCTGTAAACAAACTGAGGAAAAGCACTTGGGCACATTTCATAATTTTAATATAGGATAGAGAGGTGTGGTAGAGGAGGAGTGTGATAATGTGGGGGAAAAAGAGGCATTAGTTCATACATTAGTTATGTCTTTAAACTGTTTAAGGCATATTTTGCCTCTAGTTTTATCTAATAGTTTAACAATCATAAAATCACCAGGCTTTATAGGCCCCATCTGCATCTATCTTATCTGACCATATCAATTATAGGTTTGATCAGATATATATTTGCAGATGGAAAGTCAGCATTTTATTTATGAACTGATCATTACTCCAACACACTGACAAACATGTATGTTATGAAAAAAAAAACCTTAGTCCATGTTCATTTTAGGTGGGAATTGTTTTTATTCATGGAGAGCCACAGATTTACATTTCTTGTGACATGTTGGTTTATGTCACAGTATATAGACTTCTTCATATTCATAAATTCCCTGCTGTTCTTTTTTCTAACAGCTGAAAAGGACAGTAAACAGGTAGAGGCTGACATTGAGGCTGCAGCTCCTTCAAAACAATCTCCGGAGGACACCTCTACAGATGCTGCTCCCTCTTCCCAGCCTGCCACTAAGCCAGCCAAGCCACAGAGCCACTCTCAACAAAAAGCAAAGGAGCCAATCAACAGTGGTGTGTCTAAGCAGCAATCTTCAGAATCAGATCCCTCTATACCACCCACCCTAGCAAAATCTAGTCTGTCTCCGGCCGCACAATCCCCATCCACCTCAGCTCCCAGACATCATGAAACAGGGGCCCTCATGGTCACTAAGACCACATATGTCATACCAAAGAAGCAGTCTGCATCCCTACCTCCGTCCAGCCACATGTCAGCTTCAGCAAAGTGCCAGAAGCCTTCTTCAGCCCCCATGCTGCTAAATGAAACCAGAAACCTGTTGGTGCCACCAGCACCAAGTGCTCCCTCCTCTAGACCATCTCAGCCCAATAACCAGGTCAGGCAGAGCATCCAGCGCTCCCTCACCAGCATCCTTTTCAAAAGGTGAGAACTGTTACACAGGCTTGTATGATCTCATGTACACATACTATACTCTTGATGAATCTGACTTCAAAATGCGCTTTATGAAAAGTTAAAGTGATGGTGGAAGGAGCCAAAAAGTGAACGCCCATACCTTCAAGTGTGTTTAAAAACAACATGGACATGAGTTGATGGGCATGCAATAACAATTTAACATACAGCATATGGGGAAAAATGAATTCACCACCTTTTATTTCAATAGTTTTTAAGGTTTTTATTATAACAGCGTGTCTTTGCTGACCAGATTACATACTTTTCAGTCATCTAAATTTCAGTAGAGTTTTCATAAAGAATAGATAATTTGTAAGTAGTATGATCTACATATTATATATTTTATCCGTGGGTAAAATCAAGTGTCCTTCACAAAAATCAATTATTTTAACACTATAGACTCCAGGAACATGTTTTTTGGCTTTTGCAGTTTTACAATAAAAGTGTAAAATTTGCATCCCAATCTTTTAAAGCAGTGATGCACAACAAATTTGTTAATTAACTGCCTTTTCATTTTTCAAGGGTGTGTGATTGTGAGGACTTGGAGATGTCTGAGAGTGAAGTTGCAAAGCTTGTCGCAAGCATTGAGATGGAGATGTTCGACATATTTCGCAACACAGACAGCAAATACATGAACAAGTACAGAACTATAATGTTCAACCTGAAAGACCCCAGAAACAAGGTTTGTGTTACGTTGATAAACCCATTTCGGTTACCATACATTTGAATCAATATTGCAAAAATGTGTATAGTGCAAATCATAGTTATTTATGTTTTTAGCAAACTGACAGTCCAATTATTGGTTCTCTCAAGGGCTTGTTGTATCGGGTTGTACGTGGAGAGATCAGTTCGTTCAGACTGGTCAGGATGAGCCAGAAGGATATGCAAGCTACCAAGGCATCAGAGCCAAGTGCAAAAGAAACAACAGAGGTAAAGTGTAATAGATATTAAACACAACAAAAGAAAAGACAACATCAGATATTATGCTTGAACTTGTTATCAATAGGAAGTCCTGAGAGGCAAGTGAGAAAAAAAACTGACTTCAGAACGGTTAGAAAAAAAGGGTTTGCAAAAAGAATATAAAAGTAATTATTTATTTAATTATCAGCACTAATAATCCTGGCAAAACTTTGATTCTTTGCAATTCACAGAAAGCCACGTTATTACATCCAAAATAACAATACAAATGAGTATATAAGCAGTAAGAGAAAGGGTTCATTCAAAACCTGAGTAATAGTAATAAAAAGAAATCAGGGGTAAGAAATCTTGTACCATTTGATATAGTTTCTCAACCTTGTTGTCATTTAGATTGGTCCAAAGTCTTTCCTTTCATTTTGAAGGTGTAGCTATGAAAAAAGAGCGACATAACTATATATACCCAGAGAGGGAAAGGTAAAGGGGAACAAATAAACAAATAAACTAAATATATAAAAAATGTTTTTAGCAGGTTGGCTTCACACAATTGTCTGACAATTTGAGAAATTGCAGTGCTGTATGAAGATATCCATCTTTAAGTTCAAGGAAAATGTAACCTTTATATCATGTAAATCTCCATTGTCCAGTTATTTATGGTCAGTCCGACATTCATCATCCATCTTGTCAGAGCCTTTTTACTGCCAGCAGTATACTGTTCACCTGTTCTGAAGTCATAAACACAAGAGAGAAAACAGTTTAGATTAGACAAAGAAAATGGATCACCAGAATCTTTTTTTCTACTTGCCTCGCATAATTTCAGTATTATCAGGCCTCAGAAAGTTGAACAGTGTTTGTGTCAGAGGTAATTATTTTCTTCCATTACTTGTATGTATTTAGGTTAAGGATACAACTGATAAAGTGACAAGTTTGCTGCCGAAGCCTGAAGCAGTGAAGGTTGACTTGCCCAGTTTGAATCCCGCTAGACCGGATAGAAGCACGGTGTGTACTTGCCTAATTTGCATTCAGTTGGTGGAATTTAAAATGTTTACATGGTCATTGCATTGTCTATCCTTGTCCATATAAATGGATGAGTGTTATGATAGCTTTGTAAGTCTCATTGTTTTTGTGGCTTGTGTTGGTATATTTTGCTTCCCAGGAACAGAAGAAAAGTCTTCCTGCTCCTGCTCTCAAGGCCAGAACAAGCCAACCAAGCAGTGCTGTACCAGATATCCTCTCCTGTATGCTTAAGGACACAACATCAGAGCACAAAGCTCACCTCTTTGACCTGAAATGCAAGATATGCACAGGTGAATTAAAAATTTTTTTTACAATAGATGTGCAATACATAGTATATATGATTACATTATCCTATGACCACCCATTGTTAATTTTAGTTTTTCAAAGTGAATTATTTTTCTTTTCCAAAGGCCAAATAATAGCTGGAGACGAGGAGGAGCCCACAAAGAAAAAACCCAAGGTTTCTGAAACAAGAGATAAATATGAACCCTCCTGGAGAAGGCCTGCAGGAGATGACTCTCCTCTGAGGGCACCACCTGACTCACCTGACATGGATTCACCAACATCCTTCCTAATGGATCCTTCATCCCGCCTTATCATTGACTCTCCAGTATTGACTATAGTGGAATCCCCTGCTTCCCCCATAATGGATTCTCCAGCCTCCCCTACTTTAGAGTCTCCAGCTTCTCCTGTCATGGAGTCCCCTGCATCCCCAACTCCAGACACTCCTAATGCTACTACAACAAAGAGAGCGTATACACCAGTTGTGATTCCAGCTGTCTCCACAGTAACCATCTCAAGGCGTGATCCCCGCACTGCTGCAAGCAGGTTCTCTGCTTCGTCAAGTGGCACCTCTGGTCCAAGTAACACAACCCATAACCAATCAGCCCAGTATGCTCCGCTTAAAGAAACTAAGTCGGCCTCACCATCAGCTTTAGCCTCCTCACTACCACCAACAAAAACATTACCTAAATCTATCTTAATGAAACCGTCTTCTTCGGCTGATCCCAGACTCTATGGCACATCTTTGAGGTATTTAAATAATTGTGCCAACTTGAAGCACATAGAATAGAAGAGAATTATTCTATTTTATTCTGTTTTATGTAGTATATAGCAAAGTCAGCATAATGTGTGGATACGATTGTCACTGTGCTGTTGTGGTTTGTGTCACAGGACCGTGATCTCTGAATCCCCAGCTGAAAGTGGGACTGCTCAGTTCTTGGCTAAGGAAGACATAGTGTGGAAAGGATTCCTTAATATGCTCACTGTAGCAAAGTTTGTCACCAAAGGATATCTGGTTTCAGGATCTGCTGAAAATCTCAAAGCGGTACAGTACTGCGCAATAATATTTTTTAAAATTCACAGAGCTGTATTAAAAAGATCTGTCAATGTAATTAATTCAACTGAAGGTATGAACAGTTTTTCTTGTGTGTAGGATCTACCTGATACCATACAAATCGGAGGACGAATCATGCCTCATACAGTGTGGGACTACGTTGCAAAACTAAAGACCTCTCTTACAAAGGCAAGCAGTAAATGTAGTTTTTATTTGTGTCTTGTACAATAATATTGAAAATCTATCAATATTTTAAATCTTCTTTTGTTTGTTTTTTGCTTATTAGGAGTTATGTGTGATCCGGTTTCACCCTGCAACGGAGGAGGAAGAGGTGGCCTATGTCTCCCTATTTTCCTATTTCAGCAGCAGAGGTCGTTTTGGTGTGGTTGCCAATAGCAGCCGTTCTATCAAGGATTTATACCTTGTCCCACTCAGTGCAAAGGAATCAATCCCATCCATACTACAACCACTTGAAGGACCAGGTGTGATAATGCTTCGAATAACAGTCTTATATAATGAGTGAATGATATAATGGGCCTATTTTAAACACCTCCGATGCTTAACAGTAATGGCTTATATTTGAGCTGCAATATTCAGCCCCAATGAACACTCCTGGACCAATACCCATATATTTTGTGAATCTGTATAATTTTCTGAACTTTTTGACCAAAGTTGTAAGTTAAGAATTGAGAAACTATAAAGCCAATTGTCAGCATTTAATTTAAACTTGTTCTAATGATTTATTAATGTTTATTTGTATGATTTATTTACTTTTTGTTTTTTTTCACAGGGCTTGAAAAAAAACGGCCCAATCTTCTTCTGGGTCTGGCTATCATTCAGAAGGCAAAACGTCCAGGAAGTTTGCCTCAGGATATTGAAGAGAAGAGACCCAAAGTTCATATGTCCAAAGACCCAATGTGGATCCCAAAACCTCCAGTCCTGTATGGTTCTGACAAATTGGAGATATTTCAACCATACGATCCAGAGACTCCTGCTAACACCACGCCTCCTGATTCACCAACTTGTCCTGGGTCACCATCAGAGTCCTCCTCTTCTGGCTCAGTCACCATACCATCTCTTTTGACTTCAGTTAAAGCAAATCCTCCAGTTTCTACCTCAGCCGTTGTTGCTACCACTCAGTCCACCTCTGATAACGTTTCTGACAAGAATCCCACACCAGCATCCAGTGTTAAGACACCGCTGCAGACTATCTTGAAGAGTTTGTTTGGCAAGAAGCAAACTGACTCCATCTCCTCTGATGGAAGTTCTGCAACAACAGTTACCAGGAGTGTTAAGAAGCGTCCTGTGTTTTCTCAGGTGTCTGGATCAATGGTGGACCCAATTGTCCAACAGTATGGACAGAAATCCAAAGTCAAAAAAATAGAAGAAGAGGAAAGCGACTTTGACCGACCATACGACCCAGAAGAGGAATATGATCCAGCAATGGGATATGGAATGGTGGCTCCGCACAGCATAGAAAAAATTAACCCGGTTGGCCCTGCAGAATCAGACTTTGTAGACGATGACGTGGCCTATGATCCAGAGGACGAGACTATATTTGCAGATATTCAAAGTGATATTGTAACAAAGCCCCCTGTTCCATCTCAATTGTCAGATTCTACATCAACCCCAACCCCAGTTTCCACCCAGGCAGTTACACCAGCTCCCACTCCCACTCCATCACAAACTTCTTCCACAGCTGAAGTAACTCAGAACCTTCCTATAGGCACCGTGGTTGTCTCAGCTGCAACACTAACTGAACAACAGCGGATGCTTGAGGAGCTCAATAAGCAAATTGAAGAGCAAAAACGGCAGCTGAAGGAGCAGGAAGAGGCACTACGCCAACAGAGAGAGGCTGTGGGTATGTTCATGGCTCACTTTTCTGTTTCTGATTCTCTGATGTCTCCCCCACCAAAATCTTTGCCTGCCAGTCAACTGTCATCTGTGCAGAGTGGCATAATGCAAACAGAGTCAACAGACAAGACCAACAACCTTACAGAGACTGTGGACAGTTCAAATGTGGATTCACAAACTGTTACGCTAGAAGACACAACTGCCATCCCTAATTTAAAAAATGATGGAGAAACTGTTACAGAACAAGAAGAAACGCAGGAAAATGTTAAGGAAAGCGACAAATATTCCTCTGCAGGAGAGATTGAAGATTCTGATGTAGCTTATGATCCTGAGGATGAATCACTTTTTAATGAAATTCAAGAGGATGTATTTCAAGGAAGCAGTGTAAAGACTTGTGATTCATTTTTGTCTAGAACAGGGCATAGTGCCAGCCGCATGGACACTCCTCTGAATTCACACCACAGCAGAAAGCGAAGACTGTCACCAAAGAGGCGGGCTCATCGTGAAAGGGACCGCCATAGAAGTCCTTCAAGAAAGTCACAGCGCCGTTCTCCTTCACATTCCCAGAGACGTAGAGAAAGGGATAGGCATAGAAGAAGTGAAAGGGACAGGTCCAGGCATAGAGCTAGAGACCATTCTGAACGTCAGGGTCGCCATCGTAAGGAGCATACCGCCCGCCGGCATTCTCGTGGGCATAGAAGATCCCCATCATCTCCTACAAGAAAAGATTCTATGTCCCTTTCACCAAAACAGCACAGAGATTCTTCCCCTCAAGTCCATGAGAACTCATCTACCTTGGTTGCCATTAAAAATGACCCTGATCAATTAGAATTTAATCTTGATGAGAAGGTTGAGAACTCTGATAAAGACTTTTCACTCTGTGCACATGAACTTCTTCACAATGTGAAGGTTGAGATGTCAGAACCACCAAAATCTGATGAGCTTCAAAATTCAATCAGCGACCATGATGACACACATAGAGATTCTTCTGCCCAGGTGGATAAACCCTCTCCACAGGAAACTCTGCTTAATAGCAAAATTGATAGTGCAATTCCTCTAAGAGAAATTGATCCGCCCATTCGAGATTCTCCTCAGAGCCCTGATCCAGAGCCACAGTTTATGAAACCGAGCAACATAGAAAAGAGTGACTATCTTAAGATTGAGGAAAACACATATCCTGAGATCAGTGTCTCAATGCCACTTGTTAAAATTGAAAGTAATTGCCTGCCTATTGGTGTTCAAGCAACAATGTCCAATATCTTGTGGCCTACTGTTGGAGGTACCACATCAAATGTTAGAAAAGCAGACTTTAGAACCCTTGATCTACAGGGTCCAGGTGTCGGAGATCGAAGTATGATAGAGGCAGAAAAAATGATAGAAGGGGAATATCCATGCTTAAAGCACCCAGAAATACTGGGTTATAGGGGAGGGCATTCAAATCCACCTATAGGCTCAGATATTGAGGGCTCAGGACCTAAAATAGACCCTGTGACAAAGCATTCAGGACCTGGTATGAGTGGTCCAGGTAACAGAAATGCAGGACAAGATATGAAAAAACCTGGACACAGGGAACCACAGACACATCTAAGAGAATCAGGAATTAGATTCTCAGGGGCTGATATGAGAGGTCCAGGCATGCAAGACATAAACCCCAGCAACTGGGTTCCTGGACCACACATACAAGACCTAGCAATAAGCCATCAAGGGAAATATGTGAGGACCCCAGGGACAGGGATGCAGGTTTTAGAGCCAAATAGCAGAGAAGTGGGTGTTAAACATCACTATACTGATAGAATTGGTTCTGTGCAAGATATGGAAACCTCTTGTATACAAAGTGCAAATCCAGAAGTACCAGCTGTTACCAATACACGTATGGGAGGATCAGGCCTACAGAATGAAAAGAGAGATCCAGTCATGAAGGGCCCTTCGTCAGATAGCCAAAAAGATAGAGGTGATAGTCCACACACTGGGGATATGAGATCTGCTAGGAGAGGTGGAGGTATAATAGATCCCAGAAGTCCTGATATAAGAAATGCAAGTCCATCTTATAGGGGCTCAGGAAGAGTTCAAAGGCAGTCATGGCATGATGGCAGTCCAGTTTTAGAGGAAAGGGGCCTTCTTAAAAGGGGGTTTCAGCCACAAGGAAGAGATGCCGAAATGAGCAGGTTGGGTGGTGGTCGGGAAAAGATTTTAGATTCAAATGCAGGTTCAAAGGGTACAGTTGTAAGAGCAGATAGAATATGCCCAGCAATGACCGATGAAAGGCGGGGACCACAAAGAGGGCGAGGTGTACCCATGAGAGGACCAGGGCCAAACATAAATTCCGAAAGTGGGTCTAACAGGTCCTGCATTGGACGAGACAGTAGTGGGCCTAGAGAACATTTCAAGGAACCACAGCCAGATATAAGAGATGAAAGGAGTGTGTGCCCTGACATGAGAGAATCAGAAACTATGCATGAAATAAGAAAGCCAGATATGACAGTCAGAAGTTATATGGGGCCTTGTCAAGATATGAGTAGTATGGGTACCTCAGATTCAAGGGGTGATAGAAGTGAGTCACATACCAGGAGTTCAAGCAGAGACATTGGAGAAACAGGTTCAAATAGGAGAGATGCAGATTTGCAAGGAAGAAATATACAGGGTCTATGGCAAGAGATGAGAAATGAACAAGTGGGCCAAGAAGACAGAGGTCCCATGCCAAACATTACAAATCCAGATTGGAGAGGTCCAGGACCAGGTCTTATTGGTCCTGATATGAGGGATCAGAGGAGTCAAAATAAAGGTTGGGGTCCGCATATGAGTGATACAGATTGGAGTGGCGCAGGATCAGATGTGAGAGATGACTGGCAAGGGCCAGATGAATGCAGAGTCCATCAGCCTGATAGGAGAGGTCCAAACATGGAGGACACGAGGCATGACAGGAGAGGACCAGAGGGTCCGGATTTCATGGCACCGGGACTGTTAAAGAGAGGACCTGGTATGGAGGTGCCACAGCATGACAGGAGAGGTTTAGGAGGTCCAAATTTCATGGGACCAGGACCTGAAAGGACCGGTCCAACTAATGACAATCTAGGACCTGGCATGAGAGGAACAGGAGGACCAGACTTTGTTGGACCAGGCCATGAAAGGAGAGGTCTACCTATGGAAGTATCTGGGCCTAACAGGAGAGGACCAGCAGGTCCAGATTTCAGGAGACCATGGCCTGAAAGGAGGGGTCATAATATGGTTGGTCCAGGGCCTGACAAGGGAGGACCTGATATGGAGATCCCAATCCATGACAGGGGAGGACCAGGAGGTCCAGATTTAATGGGACCAGGGCCTGAAAGGAGAGGTTCTGATATGGAGGTCCTAATGCATGACAGGAGAGGACCAGGAGGTCCAGATTTCGTGGGACCAGGACCTGAAAGGAGAGGTCACACTATGAACATTCAAGAGCCTGACAAGAGAGTACCAGGAGGTCCAGACTTCAGGAGACCAGAGCCTGAATGGACAGGTCCAACTAATGACAGTATAGGACCTGGCATGAGAGGAACAGGGGGTCCGGACTTTGTGGGACCAGGCCATGAAAGAAGAGGTCTACATATGGAGGGTCCTGGGCCTAACAGGAGAGGACCAGTGGGTCCAGATTTCAGAGGGCCAGGACCTGATAGGAGAGGTCCTGCTATAGAGGGTCCTGGGACTGACATTAGAGGAGCGAGAGGTCCAGATTTCAGGGGACCAGGGCCTGAAAGCACAGGCTTAACTATGGAACGTCCTGGACATGACATGAGAGGACCTGGAGGTCCAGATTTCAGAGGACCAGGACCTGAAAGAAGAGGTCCCATTATGGAGGGTCCTGGAGGTCCAGATTTTAGAGGACCAGGACCTGAAATAAGAGGTCCCATTATGGAGGGTCC